ACCTTAAACTGCAGCCCTCTGCTCCACATATGATGGGAAAAATGCAGATAAATAATTTCCCCACGAGGGACAATAAAGTTTATTTGAAAATAAAAAATACACTTCAGAAAAGAAATCCCAAAAGATCAGATAAAAAATAAAAGTAGAGGCACTTTAATGTTAATTTTTTTATGACCAGCAGGGGGCGATGCATCAGACTGAAGGTACAAAAAAAAAAAAAAAATGAAACAAATTTAGTACAGACTACATTTACAACCTTCCTAATCATTAGTTTGATTTTTGCAAGAACAGTAATGGTCAATTTATAACTTTACAATTTTTTTAAAATTACAACAAAGGTTAAATTTGGGGTCAGAATCAAAATGTTTTACACGTTTGAAATAAACTATTGATGGGTTTTTGTCATATTTAAAGGCTTCAAAACCATCAGTCTTCTTTCTCCAGCAGTCATGGTGTGGGAGGTGGAGTACACCTTCAAATTAAAGTTTCTACTTCAGCCGTTACAAATCAGTTCCAAAATACAAAACAAACAAATAATACAGTTGTTAAGTTTTAAGACATTTTAACAGAACACAACCAATATAACACAGACGGTCAGAATGACAACATTTCTGATTTGGTGGTTTAATATTTCCTGAATTTCTCCTGGAAATGCAAACAAACAATCTCTGAAAACCCAGCGTGCTGTTTCACAAAGAGTCAGTGTGTGACACGAAATGACATCTCTGGTTTACAAAATGTTGTGTTTCCATTGGGTGTGAAGCAACAACGGCACAGATGCAGGTCCTTGAAACTGTTAACTCTTTCATCATCAAAACAAGGTTTCTGCAAGAGAACACAATGATTCATGAATCCATTCGGCAGATTTTATTATGACACCCCCCCCCCCCCCATGCAAAGCGGGAGTCATATTGTTTTCGTAATGTTTATTTTTTTCAGTGATTTTTGGTCAACTGTAGCACAAAAACAGCTGCACCAATCAACATGAAATTTGGCAGGACTGTAGATGAGTCCGACCTAAACTGCGCCAGTTAACAGTTTTATGAAACACCCCGTATTTGAGGAGGGGGCTCCTTTCAAAGATGGGGTGTCTGGACATGCAAAAATGATTATAACTCAGAAACTAACATAGGAGCTTCAGATTTTCTTTGGTTGTTTAGCTCTGATAAGTGGCTATCCATCAGGTCAACCAATGCCCCCCCAAGTAAAGCAAACAAAAAAAAAGACCCCCGCCCAAACCACTACAATTTTGGGATGCACCTAGTAGCATGACTTTTATTAGGAATAAAGACTTGAGTTCTGGTGCATTTCTGCGTGCAGAGGTCATTATGTCACCACTATGCAGTTTCTAGTTTCAGTAAGACTTAGACTTAATCATTACTAATTCTGTGCAAAATATGTTTTTAAACAAAGTGAATGAATTAAAAAATATTCCTATGATCAATGAAGATGCAACAGAAATATGAAGCGGCAAATCTTCAGATTCAGGGTCACATCCTCACCTCGACCCGACAGGCTGTGTGGAGCCAGAGTAAAGGAAATATACTGAAACTTCCTGGAAGTCCTCTGTGTGTGTGTGTGTGTGTGTGTGTGTGTGTGTGTGTGTGTCAGGAGGGGGTGTCTTCCAAACATCTACATAAAACCCTGATGACTCTCGCAGGTTTACTCACTGATCAAAAGTCACACAGTTAACTTGTTTGCTTTACGATATTTCATAAGTGAGTAGAAGTTGTTTGTATTGCACAAAGACACACAACATGCTGGACTAAAATAATACAAAAACAAATATCAGCCGTTTGGGTAATTAACTGAAAACAGGATTTCTGAATTGATTACTTTCCTAAACTACTAAAAATGCAGAACAATAAAAGGAAAAATCTGAAGTATAAATATGTACAATGTGGAAAACAGAAAACTCTGACGTTAATCTAAGGTTGTGCTCAGCGTGAAGTTGGTGTTGTGTCTGCATTGTGACTTGTGTTAAAGCAAAGACGGTGCTGACAGCTTTGTTGCTTTGTTTGCTCAGAGAACTGTTTGCTTATGTCTGAGCCAACATGAGAGAGAAAGCGGGAGACAAGGTACGTGCTTTCAGCCATGCTTCATGACCAGAGCAGAGGTTCAAGGTGGGAGGTGAGGGGGTTGTGGGGGAGAGCGGGGGCAGGGATGTCCCGTCACACTGACTCCTGCGTTGGAGAGTTTAGGATCATCTAATGTAAATAAAGGATGAGAGGCTCTTGGTACATCTGAAGTGAGGTGGCAGCGTGCGTCGGGAGGCAGTGAAAGTGCACGTTTCACTTTTTCGTGTTGTGGTTTCTCATCCAGGGTTTTGGGCTTGCAGCCAGCTGCATCTCCCACTCTGGCGCGACACAAGACAGGAAGCTGACATAAAAGAATAGGGGGACCGACTGAGTGACGTAGGAGGCAGAGCAGGAGCCACGGAAGAGGTCGGAAGTTATTGTTTTAGCTTGCAGGCGTCCCTTTTGACAACAAGCCTATGATCAATGTCGCCTCAGAGGAGCAGTTATGGAACCCCTCTATATCCCCTGTGGCTGATAAACAATGTAATAATGTGATGGTAAACAGGTGCGCAAAACCTCCTCCTGCAGATACAGATCATAAACTAAGTTTATTTGACAAAAAAACTAATTAGAAGTAGATCACACAATTTTAGTGCTTTAGTTTCTCATATCTCATTTTGTCACTCATGAGTGAAGTGAAAATGAGGGATGTGTGTAAAATGGTAAATGGACTGTACTTGTATAGCACCTTTCTACCCAACCAGGACACTCAAAGCACTTCACACTACAATCTGTGTCCTCATTTACCCATTCACACAGCACTCAACTAGATCTCTACAAAGCTAACATGTACAAATCAAACTACGGAGACTAATCAGTGCCAATCACATTCATACACTGATGGGACACATCAGAGGCATTAGGGGTGAAGTCTCTTGCCTAAAGACAACAACTGAGGCAGCTGGACGGGGGATAGAACCGGCAACCTACCGGGTCCAGGACACTCCTCTAACCACTCTTCGATAGTGTGTGATGGGAGCAGAGGGCGGGGCCACATGGGCATTAGTTATGCTGGGGCGGCTGTGGCAGAGTGGTTAGGGGAGTCGTCCTGGAACCGGAAGGTCACCGGTTCAATCCCCTATCCAGCTGTCTCAGTTGTTGTGTCCTTGGGCAAGACATTTCACCCCTAATGTCTCTGATGTGTGTCCCATCAGTGCAGGAATGTGATTGGCTCAGATTAGTCTCCATAGCTGATTGCTATGTAGACTACATAGCTTTGTAGGAGATCTGGTAGAGTGCTGTGTGAACGGGTAAATGAGGAAACAGACTGTAGTTTGAAGCACTTTGAGTGTCCTGGATGGATAGAAAAGCGCTATATAAGTACAGTCCATTTACCATTTTATGCAACTTTAGATCATGCATCGTGGCTCAATTGGTAGAGCTGATGCCTCTCAGCAAGAAGGTTGCCCGATTGAATCCCAGCCTGAGACAGAGTTTGCATCTTCTCACTGGTTTCCTCCCACAGACAAAAATTAAGGCCGTTAAGGCCCCCGACACACTCGCGCGTACTCTGTTACAGTCCATGAGCCGCGCGGACTCTGCGCATGTTGTCCGCTGGTGTTTGAGAATTCATACTTGAGGGAACTGATTGCCTGGAAAATTCCTTAATTTCTCACCGTTTCAATCATGGCATCAAGGACAAGGAGGAAGAGATAAATTGCATTTTAGCTTTCAAACAACAAAATCGAAAAACTTACCTTTTCAGGGTCTGAGTTATTTTCTCCCATGAATTTGTTGCTCTCTGAAAGCCCTTATATTGATGTATCAAATTTATGTGTTTTCTAATGTCCTCCGTGAGACGCTTTTCAAAATTTGACTCCGTTTCATCCACAAATGACACGGATTCTGAACTTTATCTGCTCGGTATCGTATCCAAAACACCTCAATGTGAACTCGCCGGGCAGTTTGTGCGACTCCGCAGACAGGGACGTAAAACCCTGATCTCTGTGCAGACCTGTTTGGATGTCTGACTCGAGTCCACGTGGACCTTCGCAGGATGAAGTACGCGTAAGTATGTGAGGGCCTTTAGGTTAATTGGCAATTCTACATTGTCCCTAGTTGAGAGAGTAAATGGTTGTTCATCTCCATGTATCCCTATCATGGACTTGTGACCTGTCCAGGGAGTCCCCCGCCCCTCACACAGTGACTGCTAGATATGAGCACCAGTGACCCCCGTGAACCTGAAAGGAACAAGAGAGTAAAGGATAATACATGGATAAATTGTGCATTCTTGTTTAGTTTTCTCTTCGCTGTAAACCTATTTAAATCAGGCCATAGAAACCCGAGCCGACCCAGCCTAAACTTTGTGTCACACTCATGTTGGGTTCTGTCTGTCTGTTTCTGCAGCAGCCTAAGCAGAGACCCAGACCTCCCTCTCCCCAGCCACTTGGGCCAGCTCGTCCGGGAGAATCCCAAGGCGTTCCCAGGCCAGCTGAGAAACAGTCCCTCCAGCGTGTCCTGGGTCCTGGGCCTCCTCCCAGTGGGACGTGCCCAGAACACCTCACCAGGGAGGCGTCCAGGAGGCATCCTAAGCAGATGCCCGAGCCACCAGCACTGTGTTGGGTAGTGGTCGAAGGCGAGGACCTTGGCGGTCTGATCCTCGGCTACAGAAGCTGGCTCATGTTGGGTTATCAATCTAAATTTTAACTCCGGTCCAGATTATTAGAAACAGCTGACAAGAGGAGGTTCAGTATCTGTTCCTTCCTCCCTTCCTTCAAAACCCTTCAAACTGGATCTGACACTTTGTGGTCTGATTGATGAAAGGTCTGAGGAGAAATCTGGGGTTGAAACGGACCTGCATCTGAGGTAGTGACTGAGCTGCAGCAGCTCATATGTGAGGCTCATCAGTATCAGGCATTACAGGTGAGGTGTAGGGATGACAGATGATCTGTGCAACCAGTCGGCTGCAGGAGTTAGACTTAAGGATGTCTGAAACATGTTTACAGCAGCAATAGAGTTACAGTCCATGTCTACGTTGGTTCTGCAATCTATAAAACCTCATAGCTGTGAGACATGACCAGCTGGATTATGCCCCAATCACATCAACCAGAATCAATGAGTATGTCAGCCTGAATACAGGTTCAGTTGTCATTCATTCAGATTCAGTTCCTAGCTTTAAAGTTTTATACAGTGGGTAAAATATGTATTGAACACATCACCATTTTTCACAGTAAATATATTACTAGAGGTGCTAATGACATAAATTTTCACCAGATGTTGGTAACAACCCAAGTGATCCACACATACAAAGAAATCAAACCATAAATGTCCAGAAATGAAGTTATTTGTAATAATGTGGAATGGCACAGGGAAAAAGTATTGAACACATGAAGAAAGGGAGGTGTAAAAAGGCATGGAAAGCCAAGACACCAGCTGAACTCTCTCAGTAATTAGAAAGCAAGCCTGCCCCTTGTCAGTGCAAGTTAATTTCAGCTGGTTCAGTCCCAAATGATGGCCAGGTATCACACAAGAACCATCTGATGATGGGTAAAAGTAAAGAGCTCTTTCAAGACCTTCACAACCTTATTGTTGCAAAGCATAATGATGGCATCGGTTACAGAAGAATGTCTAAACTTCTGAAGGTTCCAGTGAGCACTGTTGGGGCCATAATTCAGAAGTGGAAAGAACATTATTTCACCATAAACCGACCACGACCAGGTGCTCCTCACAAGATTTCTGACAGAGGAGTGAAAAGAATTATCAGAAGAGTTGTCCAAGAGCCAAGGACCACTTGTGGAGAGCTTCAGAAAGACCTGGAATTAGCAGGTACGATTGTTTCAAAGAAAACAATAAGTAATGCACTGAACCACCATGGCCTGTATGCACGCTCACCACACAAGACTTCACTGCTGAAGAAACAGCATGTTGAAGCTCCTTTAAAGTTTGCTGCACAACATTTAAACAAGCCTGTGTAATACTGGGAGAATATAGTCTGGTCAGATGAGACCAACATTGAACTGTTTGGATGCCAGAATACACATCATGTTTGGAGGTCAAATGGCACTGCACATCAGCCCAAAAACACCATACCAACAGTGAAGTTTGGAGGTGGGAACATCATGGTGTGGGGCTGTTTTTCAGCATATGGTACTGGCAAACTTCAAATAATTGAAGGAAGGATGAGTGGAAAAATGTACAGAGACATTCTTGATAGAAATCTGCTTCCATCTACCAGGATGATGAAGATGAAACGTGGCTGGACATTTCAGCAAGACAATGAGCCCAAACACAAAGCCAAGGAAACTCTCAGTTGGTTTCAGAGAAAGAAACTAAAGCTGCTGGAATGGCCCAGCCAATCACCTGACCTGAATCCAACAGAAAATCTATGGAAAGAACTAAAGATCAGAGTTCATAGAAGAGGTCCACGAAACCTTCAACATTTGAAGACTGTTTGTGGAAGAATGGGCCAAAATCACACCTGAGCAATGCATGCCACTAGTTTCTCCATACAGGAGGCGTCTTGAAGCTGTCATTGACAACAAAGGCTTTTGTACAAAGTATTAGATAAATTTCAGTAAGTGTGTTCAATACTTTTTCCCTGTGCCATTCCACATTATTACAAATAACTTCATTTCTGGACATTTATGGTTTGATTTCTTTGTATGTATGGATCACTTGGGTTGTTACCAACATCTGGTGAAAATTTCATGTCATTAGTACCTCTAGTAATATATTTACTGAGAAAAATGGTGACGTGTTCAATACTTATTTTACCCGATGCATATTAATTCATTAAAACATACACATTTGTCAAACTCATCAAGATAATCTGTAGCATTGAGTTTTTCATTTTTATCTCCCGTCTCAAACTTTCCTCATTTCATTTCATTAATTCGGCAAAAACGTGCAAAAAATTATTTTACTTTTATCTGATGTTCGTCACAGTGTCGTGCAGCAATGTGTGGCACTTTCTTTCTGGCTGCTGCCTCCAGCCTCACACCTTTTATCTAACGGACATTTCACTTCATAATCTTTCCTCTTGATTGTTTTATCTGCTGTTTCCTTGACGCATTAGTCCTCATCAGATGCCCTGCATGGTGTGGAAACTGATCTTCTGACTTAACCTTTCACATTGGTTTCCATTGTGGAAAATCTATATTTTCATTTACATATGAAATTGTATAATTTTAACATTTTAGATTCAGTTATTCAATGATTAACCAGTACTTTAAAATAATCTGATACAGCTATACAAATGAAGAGAAAGAGAAAGAAACGTCACAGAACATGGAATCTATCAGGTTTCCTATCTGACCTCTGGTGTATTTCCTCTCACTCAAGTGTTTCTACTCCTGACGAGCACACACACATTGTCACACAACTGTCCTATTCTTATTAAAGTGTGTGTTTATTTTAGTGGGTTTGTTGCAAATGGGTTATTTTAGGCTCTATTGTAGTTCGTCTCCCTCCTTCTGGAAAATCCTCAGATTTATTTTCAGCTCATTTTGTCTAAATTAAACTGTCAGGAGTTAAATTCAGCTGCTGTGACCTGAATAAGACCGGATCAGAACCAGCTTTAGTCTTATTTCATCTTAAAGCCAGAGAGAGGAAATAATTATAGTAAAAGTGCTGCTCTACATAAATATCAAAGAGTTTAAATAATCTCTCTTTGGGTTGAGCGAAGCTTCCAGACACACACAAGTGTTAAATCTGACGAACAACAATGTAGGAGGAATTACAAGAAAATCTTTGTTTATTCAAGCTTCATCAATACTTCACATAATAAAGATCCAGCATCACTTCAAGGGATCCATGTCACCCGCCGCTTTTCATGTCAGTTTTAGACAAAAACTGTTTTTTGTTGAGAACTGATGATAATAATTGAATCTGGTGATACGTGTTCAAATTAAAGACATATTTGGAGTGAATATTTGCTAAAACCACACCAAACTTATCTCAATATCTGTAAAATTACCTAAGTTTTGTAGCCATTTCTTCTGTGTTGGCTGAGGCTGATTAGCTGGAGCAAACTTATATTTGATTGAGTTGACTCTAAATAGTAATGAGTTGTAGATCCAGTGAATATTTTCCAACAGTTTCCTTATAATCCCTCCTCTGATTTAAGAGATATTTTACTAACAGTGCAGACAAATGAACCATAATTTCCACTTTATCTTTGTTAGCAGGCAAACATTAAATTTGGTGTCTCCTGTTTCTAAGGAGTTTAGTTTCCTGACTGTACAACTGCAGCTACACAAAATTCCAGGTATAAAAAATAAATCCCACCTGTACTTGAAATCATTTTGTAGGTGTCGGTCAGTTTGCTGTAAACTTTTAACTAAACAGTTTTCTGTACATCAGTTTGATCCAATCTGTGAGGTGCAAGAGTTGTGCTCCTTCTAGCATTTGTTACTTTGTAGGGTCCATTTTTTTAAATATACTACCTTGTGAGGACCCACTGCTCCTTATGGGGTCTGAGCCTGGGCTCCATAAATACAAATGCTGGTTTTATATCGAGGTTTACGTTTAGGACTATGGTGTGAACCGAGTTAAGTTTACGTATGTATGGAGTTAAATTGTGTTTCAACTATTTTTCTATTTTAAGTCTCTTTCAGTTTCAATTTTTTTTTTTATTTTGAACAAATTTCACGGCCTCAATTTAGGTCCATCACCAAAGGTGAAAGTGAGGGTATAGAAATTAATGAAAAATGAATGGAAGTCAATGGAAAGTTCCTGTAAAGATGGAAAGACATACACAATGTGTGTTCATTTCAGTACTTAATTAAATTGGCAGAGTCAGTGAAGTTCAGTTTTTGGGTGTCGTTATCGATGAGAAGCTGATTTGGAGATCACACATAAATAATCTAAAAGTAAAAATAGCTAGACCAATTGCAGTATTGTATAAAGCTCGAGAGTTATTTAATGACAAATCTCTATATATTGTATAATGCAATAATAGTTCCACACCTCATATTGTATTGAAATATGGGGAAAAGCATGTAAAACGATAATAAACACCATTTTTATTTTGCAGAAAAGAGCAATAAGAGTTATTACTAGAAAACACTGCAGTCACCCATCAAATATATTGTTTTTGTCAATTGGAATTATTAAAACTTCATGAGTTGGTTGATTACAGTATTCTACAGCTCATGTTTAAGGCTCATAAAAACATGCTAACTTTGAATATACAGTTAAATTTTGTTAAAAGAGAAAGCTCTTATAATTTAAAGGGAAATGAAATATTTGTGAAGCACAGATTTCGAACAAATTTGAGGGAACGTCGATACAGGGAGTGAAACTGTGGAATGATCTGGAGAGTGATGTTAGAAATGCTGGATCATTGTGTTTAAAAGAATGATTAAATTTGGTTTATTGAACAAATATAAATTAGAATAATGGGTATTTATGTAAGTTTTATTTGTTGTTTCTGTTTTGTTGTATTTTTGTAACCAGAAGATTATCAATATTTTTTCTTCTTTTTTTCTTTGTAAAAGGGGGCAGATATTATAAGATTTTTTCTTCGTTCTGCTGCCTTTCA